CCTAATGCCCTCCTACATAAAACTATATGTAACTTTTAGTCCACTCAAAAGAGATTCCACGGCTGGAGTCCCAAACAAAGGAAGGAACGCACACAAAGGTTGAACTTGTTAGGATGGTGTCTTTCTTTTTATCAACTATGTCACTAAGTTACCTTTGGGTAGACGTTAAAGTGGAACAAAGGCAAAAAAAAAAAATATCTATATGATGCAGTCTGACAGTAGGACTAACACAGGAGTTTTTGTTTTTCCCCGTAACCTAGTCTTATAACCTGTTTATCCCACCACTAGATCCATTTTTTTCCCACTTTCTTTAACAGGCCAGGATAAACAGAAAAAGGGACAGATACAGTGGTTGGGCCAAACCATACGACACTGCTGGGGGTGCTTAGAACAGTTGGCTTTTATTTCCAAAAAGGAATTATTGTAACTGCTTAAAGAGTGTTAGCTGGAGTTGGGCTTTCTTTTACTTAAAGTCCATCAAAGACTACCTTGTAACAATGCTTTTAATCCCAAAATGCTCAATTCTAGGTCTCTACAATGTCGTTACTTCACCTCCCGGTGTTAGCTCCATACAGGTCCATCCTCACCAGCCAATGTACTCCAAAAAGATCTGAGACAAGTGATATGACTTCTTTGAAATAAACTATTAAGTGGAGGATATTGGAGTGCGGTGCATGCATCTCTTGGCACAGTGGTTTCCAAACTTTCTAAATAAAAGCAGGAAAATAAGGCCCCAGAGTTGGTGGTCACATGGGAGTAAAAATGACCCTGCACCTATGGGCAGTGAGGGGAGGAATTGTTAGTGTTGGTGTCATTGTTGGTGTTAGTGGAAAGAATGGTGCCTTATCATTGGTGTCAGTGGGAGTTATTGTGCCCCATTGTTGGTGTCAGTGGGAGTTATTGTGCCCCATTGTTGGTGTCAGTGGGATGAATAGTCCCCCATAATTGGTATCAGTGGAAGGAATTGTGCCCCATTGTTGGTGTTAGTGGGAGCAATAGTGCCCCGTTGTTGGTGTCAATGGAAGAAATGATGCTCCATTGGGGGTGTCAGTGGTAGAATTATGCCCATCAATGCTGTCAGTGGAAGGAATAGTTACCCAAGTGCCAATTAAATGCATGTAAAGGGACTCATCCAGCCCATGTGTCACAGTTTGGGGAACACTGTTTTAGGGTGACAACTCTACTGTACGATTTCACTGCAGAACAAACACAGCGATGGTTGTAATAATGCTAGCACCAGACTTCATTACATGTGTAATTGTGTAGTTTGCTTATAGTTCCTTTTTTTTTCTTTCAAGTTTCCCTTTTTAAATGGTTTTACATAATTTGGGAGCGTTGGGGACCGTTAGTCAAACACAGAGACCGATTACTATCTCGGTCCAGCCCTGAATACAGGTTCCTAAAATCATCAAGCAGGCTGTTTAAGAATTAGAGAGTTCATCAAGGACCAGCGAGGGGATAAGAGCCCTTAAAAATGGACCTCTTCAATTATAGCGGGAAAAGGCAAAAAAAGGGGTCACATGACAACTGAAATAATGCTGCAAATGTGAATTCTAAAGAAGGACGATAATGAATGAATTAGGGGGTTTCTAGTGCGGATCCGCTTCTAAAATTCTCCAGGTTCAGAAGAAGTGACCCAAAACATGTATACAGTTCTAAATTCAGTTGGTGCATGGAGATTCACTTTACCGTCTGCTGTAAAAAAAAATCAGGTACCTGATTGGCTCCCATGAGCATCAACTAAACAGCTCCATTTTCTATGCTCCACTTTTCACAATTCTGCTTTTTTTTAGTCAATGATTCATTGTTTTTCCTTCACAGCTCCTGTATTTCCTGCTGAGCGCCCTCGGCATTATCATCTGTGTCCTAGCTGTGGCCTTCGCAGCTCACCATTACACCCAAATCACAAAATACTCCTGCAAGATGGAGGACAACTCTTGCCAGTGCACGCTGGACCCTTCCGACCCTCTGAGCCGTACTTTTCTCTACAAGACTGTGGCCGACTGCACCATGGTCACCACCACCATCAAACTCCTCTTCCTTCTGCAGATCACGCTGAACTTACTCCTGGCCATGGTCTGCCTTGCTACTTGTTTCATCATGTGGAAGGACCGCTACCAGGTGTTCTACTCGGGCACCTGGTTTCAAGGCTCCTCCACCAACGAGACCCCACAACAGAAAGTATAGCATCTTGCATGGAGGACTCTGAAGAATTCTGACTCTACCTTCCTGCCAGAATTGATGTCAAGTCAGATTTACACAAAAGCTGGGATTACAGCAGGCAGTGCAATTGCAATGGGGCCTCGTGGAGAGGGCCCACCCAAACTTAATGTTATAATACGTTTCCTCCATTTCCAATGACCACCAAAACAACTGCCATTTGTAACCTCCCCTTAAGCCATTTAACAGTCTGAAGTTTCAGTTCTGTCTCTGCAGGAAGGGAGTCATCTGTTGCTGGGTGACCACCTATGCCTTATTCTTCCATAGATGACCACTACAACGGCAAAAAAATATATTGTATGGCCATTTCTGATAGAAGCCTCTCGAATGTAACATTGAACAGAGGCTTCAATGTTTACACATCTCCAAGCCGAGTTCACTTTTTCCAGGGCAGTTGTGTTTTTTGGACCCCGGAGGGGCGGAGTGTTGGGAAATGGGAGTGGTTTCAGATGAATATTGCTGTCGCTGAAAAGATTTGGGAGGGGTCTGAGTGTAAGGTTGACTCCTAGTTAATGAATTACCGGCCTGTTCAATAAAAATGGGACTTGCTTCCAATTTGAAAAGAGGTAATTTTACAGTCTTTTGCTTTCTCACGATAGGGGGCAACCTTAATTGTGTGGTGGTGTTCAAAACCGAGAGGTGAAATGTTTATTCTAAGCAAAATAATATATTTTATCTACTTTATACTCACGAAAAACCTTCAGCCTGAACTTTAAAGCCATATCTATGCTCTGAATTGTATGCATGGGCTACTACCAGGGTTGGGTCAACGTGGTGGTGGCCTCAACTGAAAGGTTTGACGGGCAAAAAAATGACGAGCAATAATAAACAGGTGGTTTTTGAAATGAGCTGTATTCGGGATTTTTCTTGATACCTCCTTTGTTTTCTATAATAATAACATATTGTGAGTTAAAGCCTAACTACGGCCATTTGTTTGCTTTTAGTTTAGGATGGCGTGTGGTCACTGGGACAGGAAGTGAGAGAGGAGCTGCAAAGTGAACACAGGAAGCAATCAAATGAGGAAAGAGATTCTAGCCCTTCCCTCTTTATTCTCACTTCCTGCTGCCACCAAGGCCAGAAATGAGGGTACATTTTCCCCAGTGGGGACACAGACATAAATAAATCCTGACAGAGGTTCTAAACTCTCTATACCTGTCACGTACCTTGGCATGAGCCTGAATTGATGAGGAAGGCCTCCCCTTGCAGCTCCCGTCTGAGTACCCCTGGAGATGGAACAGAAGGTCTGCAGACGGAGAGAGGCACGAGTGCCTGAAGCTGATACTGTACATGGTAGGGTAGTTGGTACAGAGATCTGGACCCTGGATGTGGTAGAGGAAGCCGACCATCAGGTGAGGATGCCAGCAGTGAGTGGGTAGCACCAGGATTGGCGGAATAAGCAGAATCAGAGACAGGCCGGGTCGGTAACTTGCAGGCAGGTGAAGTACAAAGTCAAGAAGCAGGGCAATGTCAGAAGGCAGGTCGGGGTCAGCAACGTGTGAGCAGAGAAGTACAAAATCAGAATCCAGAAGAATGGTTAGTGGGTAAGCCGGGGTCAGAAGGCAGGCAGCAGACAGCAGGATCAGGAAACAAGCTGGGTCAAATACATATTCAGGAGCAGAGTCAGACAGTAGCATGGAACAGCTGAAGACCTCTCAACAAGGTGCAAGTGTAACAAGCATCCTTAAATAGCCCGTTTGGCGCCACTGGGAAGAATGTGCATATGCACGGCAGCGCGTGCGCACCATGACTTACGGATGCGCGCATTGGCACGTTTATGCGCATGCACATATGCATGTCCAATATTGGTACCGTAACGCGTTCTTCACGCATATTTATGCGCAACTGCCCATGCATTAATACGTGTAATAGCTGCACTATGGGTATTGACTGACATTCCCTGACACTACCCTTTCCAAAACTCTAACAACAAAAAAACGTATACATACCGCAAAACCAAAATGTAATATATTGCAGCTTACCCAGGGCAGTAACTACAGATCATGGGGCCCCATAGCAAAAATGTGATGGGGCCCACCTGACGAACTCTCCCTGAGCTGTGAGTAATGATGCCAAGATCCCAAAGACTCCTCTTGTGTATCTGAAGTCATCTCTACACTATAGACTTTAAAGTGTAACCACTCCAACTCTTAATGATAAAGGACTGTATTCTCTTTACATGTTCTGTTTTATTTGCCTCAACAACCTAATGGGGCCCCCTTCTCCCCCTGGCCCCATAGCAGTCATCTGGGTTGCTATGGCTATAGTTACACAACTGAGCTTACCAGTCCTTAGATGTGGTGGCTGCATTAGATTTCATTATCTCCCTTTATATTCACCTGGGTTTTGGGGATGGTGTTTTATACCGTGTTTTATTACATCATACATATGAGTGTAACATGGTATAAAACATGGACATAGGCTTGAAATTGACTTGGTATCAGCCTCTTGCCGTCCCTGAACAGCAGAGCTGGAGTGTGAGAGGAAGAAGCAGCACAAGTAGCCAATCAGTTCATGGTCGGACAAGAAGCTGGTTTTGTTTATCTTTAAATAAGCTATTCATTTTTATATTGTTATTTTTGCCTGGCTGGAAAGGGTCATCCGGACAGTGTTGCTATCAGAAGACTCCCTGTTCCTGATTCTAAAGTTTTCTGTTAGAGATACACTTAAAAAGTCGACCAGAAAAGATTTTTGGGGAATATGGATACAGCCTGACCAGTAATTCACCACGGTGTAAACTACAGTCAGGAGATTATACAAATCCTCATGTTTATTCATCCACAGCTGCAAAGGTGTAAGTGTTAATCCTCACGTGATTGGCGAATCATTGCAGACGTCCCATCGAGATCCCAATCACGTGAAGTTTGACCTGAGAGCGTGTCATTCACGGGTGAAGGGTCCAGAGATTAGCGAAAGCCGCAATTAATGCCAATCAATCGTGACTCACTCCTGGCAGTCCTCCGATCGGGGAGAAAGGAATTTTGTATTTTCCACCAAATATTCTATAACATTGTATTTCCATTGGTCCAGCTAGAAAAAATAAGTAATTTCAAAGAGAACCAGTGATAGAATAATAGAAATATGGGTGACATCGCTCTCCAGGCTTTCATATGAGAGATAAAGAGCAGGCTGCGGGAGGTGTGTTTGAGAACTCCTCTCCTGTATTATAAATAGGTCAACAAAGAGGGTTCCCAGATTTCCATCAAATGGGAGATGGGTAGACCGACAGTAAAGCTGGCCATACACTCGCTCACTTCTCCCATCGATGCGGAACATGGTGTGCCGCTGTCCAAATACCCGAATAGTGACTGCAGCTGATTGTCTTCATTGATAAAAGCCAATCAAAAGGTCAACTTTTGTTGAATGGTGGGGGTGACAATGGGATAACCCAGTGGTCAAATTTTGGTCATCAGGACCTAGCCAAAACTCAGAGCAATGGAGAGGTGCTAATGGGGTAACACAGTGGTGGAAGTTTGGCAAGTCAGCAGGACTTAGCCAAAATTCAAGCAGTGCATGGCCAGCTTAAAGTAGAACTCTGGGAATAATCAAAAACATACCCTTGCAGTGAGGCTACCCTTACACTGCAAGGGTTAAGTGCTTGTTTTGTCTAGGGGGCTCCGTAAAGCAGATATACTCACCTGATCCCTGGTCCTGCCTGGCTGATAGACCTGTCCCTACAGCCTCTTCTCCCCTGGGCTCCGGTGTTCTAAGGGCCCCTACCCGGTCATCACATCTTATGCAGGCCCATCGACTTGCATTAGATGTGAGAATGCTGAGCAGAGGGGGAGAGAATTGAGTGCTGACCGACACAGGAAAAAATGAATATTTATTATTTTTTTGCATTGGAGCCAGTATAGCATTGCAACTACGATCAGTGAAACATGGGTGCAATGCTCTGGCTCCTGCAGATTCTTCCTCCTGTCCCTATCCCTACTAAGGTATGGACATTCAGTAACATGGACAGGAGGCAGAATGAATGGACTACAAGTGCGGTGGACTACACCACGCTTCCCCTTCCCTTACAGTTCCCCTTAATGAAGAAGGAAAGTATGGCATGAACACGTGAAGGAAATACAACGCCTAATGATATGATCATTTCATAGAACGACGTTCGTGAGGCTGAATCATGGCTTTCTGCAACGATTCCATGTACGATGAATCATACCAATTCACTGGCCCAGCATGAGATTTTCACTTCCTGGAAAGAGATAAAAATATGCTTGTTGCTTTTGTTTATTTTCTCTAAAGAGAACCTTCCTCTCTGCCTCTGATAAAATATGCCCAGGCTGCAGATGGCTTTGCTTTATTTTTTCTCTTATAGTCTGGAGGGGAGTCACATTTTACATCTCAACTGTCAAACCCCACAAAATGAAAAGGATTAAGTCCCGTGTCACTCTTATCTGACCCACACAGCCAGCCAGGCACCTACAAAATAAAGATTAGCTTGTTTCTTTTAACTCCTTCGTGGCACCTGGCCTATTTGTGGCTAGAGGGACTGCGGTTAGAAGACCTAAACTGTGTGCGAGAGACAGAGAGAGAGAGATATTATAGAGATTAGAGAGATATTAGAGATAGAGATTAGAGAGATATTAGAGATAGAGATTAGAGAGAGAGAGATGCGATAGAGATTAGAGAGAGAGATTAGAGAGAGATCAGAGAGAGAGAGATTTGAGAGAGATGAGAGAGAGAGAGATTAGAGAGGGGAGAGAGAGAGACAAGTAGGGTTGCCACATTTGCTTCCAGCGAAACCCGAACACTCTGACGACGCATGGAAGTTTCACAAACTGTCACATGTCAGCTCAATAGATCGGGAAGTGAGCGAACACATACCGCCGCTCGCTCACTTCTCTATCCTGTCCCTGCAGAGAGCCGGGACTGTCACTCATGGCTCCCTGCAGGGATTCCCCCTTTTATAAAATTCATTTCAGTACAGCGCTGCATGACGGAATAAATGTCAGTCAAAGTACCGCAGCGCTGAATATAAAAAAATGGCCTGGATGGGAAGGGGGTTTAACGCCGCGGATGTCAACTGGTTAAAGGAAAACTATGAGGTGAGTGCTTTTCACTCATCCTCATAGTTCTAGCCGACCTGTGACAATAAAATTGGCTGCAGGTCGGCTCAGTGGATCGGGAAGTGAGCGAACACCTACCGGCGTTCGCTCACTTCTCAATCCTGTCAGGGCTCTCTGCCGTGACAGGGGAGGGGCTGGATTGCCCCCGCTCCAATCCTCCAGCGCTGACTGGCGGAACGGACGGGGGAGGGGGTGGGTACAGCTGGCTCTGCCTCTAGATAGGCAGAGTCAGCTGTCAGTCACGCAGCTGGGCAGATCCAGACATAAT